GAAATACTGGAACAGTAACCAGTCAGTAACCAGTACTCATCATATGACACACATCTAATATTTGCAAGTGGTACAGGGACTGTGCAACAATACCTCTTTTGCACATTGCAGTTTAAATCTGAGTTCTTTCAAAAGTAAGAATTACTACACATCTTTAGAAGAATATGGCCTGAATTTCTTGTTTTCATAGAAATTAGCCATATAGAGGCTAGTGTGGAAGTCAGTACACAGATTACACGCTTTGACCAATAGGCATGCACATTTTACCTTTCCACTTGTTTGGTGCTACCTGTATGTTTTTTACAGATTGTTCTCTCAAACTTTACACATAGAAAAAGTGGCTTTCATAAAGAGTCAGAACATGGTTGGTGATAACATGTAACCCCTCTTGAGTAACAGCTTCATCATCTGAAGTAAACATGAAGCAAGAGTTGAAAAAGTAACCATTGGCACAAACATTGGCCCCATAATGCACACATGTACAACTACAACATGTACAGTTTAAGACAGCATCACCAAGTTCCAGCATTCTTTTTAACAGGCACTTCATATTGTCGTATCAAAAGCCAAGGTGATTTACTTGTTGAATGAGTTGTAAAAACATCAATAACCAGCTCCTGACAAAAATACCAGAGAGAGAAAAGAAAACAATGAACACATAAAAATAAAGCTCCAAATACACATCTCATATCAAATAATACATTTGTTGACAGCTCCACTGAAAAGGAATCCATACAACATTCCAGTAAATCCAACTATTGATGGGAAACACCACCCAGCTGCAGTATTGTAGTGGAAAATAATTCTGCAAGTGCTTCAAATATTATATACCAAAGAGCACAAATTGGTGCACATCACTGAATCATACGTAAGCTCAAACAATGCTGCATACTATCAGTCTCCTTAGTAGAAGACAGGGAAGAGTCACCCTGTTTTATTTTTTTACTTCTTGACAATCTTGACAGGGACCTCAAAGCAGAAAATATCATTCTTCTTCTCATCCTTTAGCTCCCACTTCACCACCAGTTTCAGCTGGAAAAGACGAACAAGGGTATCAGACAATTCATAATGATTCATAATCAGTGGTACAGAATATAGAATTACAGCTGTACAGTTCCTGTTACTAGGACTAGGGAAAATTATGACTGTCACTGTGACAGCATTTTTCTACATCAACTGATAACATATGATTTCATATAGTATTAATGTCACATGTATCATCAGAATAATCACAAAAGACCTAAGACAAAAGAAAACAGTTGATACCTGAGGGTAGACTGGTTTGACAGGCAGTATGGTCGTGTATGTGTAAGTTGTGGATGACTTCAGAGGACACTCCAGCCCAGAGTCCTTACAGCCATCAGGGTTGCTGAGTGGGAAGGGCACGGGAACCCCGGCCAGGATTCCATGAACCACAGAAGTGGCATTGTTCACTACCTCGTCTAATGGAGGAGAGAAAACATTCAGTTATATAATTGTAGTAAAAATGAAAATAAATTAAAATAATGTAGTTGTAACCAAGTTTATAATATATCATAGTACAATAATAATATCACAAACAGAATAATTTTTAGTCAACTTTTGTGACATCATGCAAATGTATGACCAAGGAATACGCCAAAAACAGTTACTCAAGACTAGAGAATGAGAAAGATAATCCATACTTGAAGTAAACTTGACTGCAATGCTGGTGTTTCCACCTTTGATCAGCTCACATGGCTCAGCTGGGCAGGGAGTCACATCAACCTCAGCAATCTTTCCCACTGATGATCCTGCAGAAGAATGGACAACTTGATAGGTTTAAATAGCAAAGCAATGCTCAAAGAAAGAAACTTTTCTGGACCCAGCACCCTTCAGTACTTGAACTTGAACTTCAAGTTCAAGTACCCTTCAGTAGTTTGTTTGACCTAACCATAATTCATAGATGATGCTTGTTTGTCATAGTCTAGACACAAGATGTTCGAACTCATCATGCACAAACTGTTGAGCGGATACTGGTGCGTCTGTGCACCCCAACTCCACGCTCTGCGCGCGTACAACAAACTTCTTACCACAATCCAAGTATTTGACAGACTCCGCAACCGCCACTGATGCAACAAACGCGACAATAAACACCGCCCTGATGAGCATAGTATTTTTTTTGTGATTACACGTGTAAAGAAAGCGAGTGAAGAGGTCCGGACAGTCAAGCACCACACGCCTTTGCCAAGGGATCGAGAACACGAAACATGCAAAAAACTTCTCTATAAATCACTTCCGGTATGACTCAGATCACGCGACTTTGGAGGCGACAAAACGTTCACTTACTTAAAATTTGATCCTAAGTACACTGACACTTTATGCAATAAATTAGCAAAATTAACACAATAAAGTTATATTCAGTAAAAGAGTTTGTTATGTTCTTGCATTCATATTCATTTGCTGGAACAGATAAATCCAGCATTACGGATGTATACTGATGCCATCTATATATGTAGGTCAAAGTTGAAAATTCTAATGTTTTCATTTAAATCTCGCGAGAAATCTCGAGAGTTTGTCCACCATTTTGATCAACAGAGCAGTGCAGAATGGCAAACAAGAAGGTCCACGGTAGACACGGTCCTCCAGAGTAGAAAATATCTCTGTTATTCCTGTTAGGTCCCTCACTCAACAGAGGCGATGTTTAAGAAGGCACATGGAGATGTCAAGAAGTCAACACAGAAAGTTCTGGACCCAAAGAAAGACAGTGTCACGAGGCTGAAGCACTTGCGTACTGTGTTAGGTGAGTCCCAGAGGATGAAAAATCTGTTGAGTTCCACCCCCTTAGCCTTCTCAAGCCCCGTGTTTGTTTTCCTAAAACCCACCTATTATCAAAATGACTTTGAAGACCTGCAGATCGAGGTTTTAAAGGAGATAAGCAATGTTGTCATTTCTTCTATTAGAATTTATCCGCACCGAGATCATTGAAATGATTTTTAAAAGTGATCATAAATTATCGAAAGTGTAAACATTTCAAGGTTCAGACCTTTGATTCAATAATGAACCTTGCAGTGCACTGGTGAATATCACGGAAATGCGTGGTCTTCTTCTTCTGTGGTACTGTGGTACTAGTACATGTATGTACGAATGAATTTGTTGCGTGTGAGTTCTCCCGATATATATATATATATAATTTATATATATATATTTCTTTTTTGGTTATCTAATGCAGAATCCTGACTGTCACAGTTAAACACCAAGAAATATGTAAACTGTGAACTGATGCTATGGGTTCATGCTTCAGGCCTATATGCTAGTAGTACTTCATCAGATTGTATATCATGCAGGCATCACCTGTAACAGCAGGGCGTTTGTAACTATAGAGTCTTTTCTTTACCACCAATGAGGGCCTGCAAGCCCTTTTTCGTAAAGCGTAATCGGGCCGTTTTAGACTTCGTAATTCGTAGGCAGCCTCCGCAAAAATCAGCGTAATTCGTAATTGGACATTAGCCGCAAATCGTTAAGTCGGAATCAGGTCTGAGACTTTAACGTAATTCGTAATAGGCGGCGAAAATTTTGCGTAATTCGTAATCACTACCCCCCTTGCAGGCCCTCACCAATCAGTATACCCCATCACTGATCAGTAAACAGGTAGCTGGGCCATAGGGCATAACGAGTGCACGTGCAAAAGGGAGTTTTGGAACCTTGACTTACCTAAACTGCAATAAAAATTCATTTTTTGGACAAGTAAAGATTCTTGTCCAAGGCAATTTATGACAAGTTCTTCTTGGTGCAGTCTTTCATAATGTTGTAACCACACACATGTGAGTCACAGTGACTATGATTTTGTCTTTTGTAATCATGTATGGTATTGAATTCTTACAGAGAACACAGAGCAGGATGAGGTGAAGCAGTTCTTTGACCTGTATTACTCCCACATCTACCAGGTTTTCTATGACAACTTCATACTGGTGGAAACCAGTCTCAAGCAGAAAGGTTTGTGTCCATGTCAGTTTAAAATTCAAATCTGTACAAAATATTATAGCTTGAAAATTTAGTGGTTGCAATTTGTGTAGTACCTTTTTTCCTATGACTTTGAGTAAGTGCTAGTGCTTGTTGAACAAAATTGATACAGAAGTTACTTCACTAAATGTAAATCTATCATGAGCCTCTGATTTCAAGAAATCCTGATTGCATATGTTGCAATTTGTACTGATTTGAATACTTTATACATGTACCAGGTATTACTGTACTATCAATAAACCAATATGCTTCGAAGTGACCCTGAAGTCATTTCTGCCTCTCAGGTTACATTTGGTTTAGTCATATATTACTTATATATGTACACAATATACATTTGTACATGTTATACCAGCAACCCTTTTAGCAGAGCTCGATGGTTTGATTACTTCAATTCTTGCTCACTTTTCACTGTTGTTAAGCACCTTTCATCCAAATGCATTAAGCACAAAGTAATGAGACACCGTCAATTAGTACTGTACATGCAGGCATGTGACTTGAAGCAACACACAAAACATGTGATCTAGGGGCTACTTTATGGAAATTGGTAAGGGCAGGGACTGGTGAAGGTTTTTGTAAACCCACTGCTTTGAGTCTTGACACAGTAAGGAGGAACATACGGTTACCTCTGTCACTCTGTGTCTGTAGAGTTGACTAGTTTCTGTGAACATTTATAACAGAAACTCTATACTTGAGAGAAGTTGAGACCATTGCTCTCTCTCCTGAATGTTTTGCTTAGACTTTTGAGCTGTTTGGAATAAGTACATGTGGAACCCCTACTCTAATTGCCATTAAGGTTATGATGTCTGACCAAGTAGTTTCAGGCACAGACCTGCTGAGAGGATTGTTAGCGTTTTGATGCTCATTTGTGTTTGAGGTTGAAATCACTAGATCTAAGCAGACATACATGTCATGGAACAGTTAGCTTATTAAATTGTCTCCATTAACCTGTCTGGCCTGCACTGATCAGCCCTGCATTGCTGGGGTGTAATGGGGAGTATCAGACAAGTTTATATTACCAAACTTAATATGTAAAATACATTTGTATCTTATCCTGGTGAAACAGAAAAATTGCAAAAGTATTAGATTTTTATTTGAGGAATATCATTTTACATATTTTATAAGTAGATTTTGTCAATCCATACCATTTAAATTTGCTATTCAATACATCTGCCATTAACTAACCCAAAATGTTATTTACTTATTTACCTAGCCCACAAAGCCCAGAGGGAAGAATTGGATGCTGTCTTATTTGTATTGGAGGTATCAATTTTTACTATGTTTTGACATGGCTAGATTGAATGTATCTCTTGAATTAGATGGTTTCTAGTTGTGTGCCTATGAAATGTCAAAAGTACAGAATTAGATGCTTGGCCTTGTTATGATTTTAGTATGATTAAGGGTCTGCAATACGTTCTAATGTCTGCAATCAGTTCTAACTACATTTGTACTCTCCAAGCAGAGGTTGATGGGGAAAGATCGTTACCTTTTTATATATACCCCTTTTTTTGTCTCTACATCCACCAACTACATTTGTACATAATGAGCTGCACATTGAGTGATTTTTCTGGTGATTTATGGATGCAGGAACAGTGTGAGTTAAAGTGAACTTGTGATATCTCTGACCCACAGAAAATTCTGACATTGCTGCCAGATCTGATCCACCAAAGATGGCAGTTTCACAGCATAGGTAAGGCTCTTGATGAGACACATTCATAGGTGTTTCGTTACAGTATTGTTAGTATGGTTAATACTTCAGAATGCCTAGGTGCCGTAGTGTAGTACATGTATCCATAGTCTTTGATCGGATTAGAAGGAATAGATATTTAGGTGATACAAAACCCTTTAGTTACAATATCATATATACTGAATGTGGTGGTCCTGCATGTATCTAGGTTGTTAAAACATCAGCTCAGGTCAACAGGCACCACCTAGAGAAACCTACTGGTTTAGCCTCGATGTCAGACCAAGCTGTATCTGATGTCGGCCGAGGGGCCAGACAGGTAAACGAGCTTGTAGCACGCAGCTACACAGCATGCTTTTATCCAGCAGAACAAAATGTAATTACATCATGCATCTATTCACAGGACGTCTGATGAAGAAACTGCTCCATCCAGGGAATTCACTAAAGGTAATCTGTTATGATGTATGAGTTCAATCAATCATATGTAATCTTTCTCTCAGATGTTTTCACAATATAACATCCATCCATGACTAAAGGAATGAATATTCCAGCACCTCATGAAATACACTTTGCAGCAGGCACCAGGTGATGCTTCATACTTGGGTGTTATAGGAGATTAAAGTTTAAGAAGTTACTGTCAAGAATGACTTATGTTAGTTGGAACATACAGGTCAAAGGCATCCACATGAAGCAGATTTTGAATCTTTGTTTAAAGGAGTACTAACCTCCAGAACGAAGTGCTATTTTCCGATACATCATGCTGCAATGAATACATAACTAGCCGACTTTTTACATAATTTCGCTTGTACAAGTTGCGCGGCGCATGTTTGTAAAGTGATATTAATATCATTTTCCCCCATGCTGAACCACAATTGATACATCCGGGAACTCTGGCTTACGCAATACTCATACACTTCAGGTCAACATAAACATTTTTTGGCGAAAATGGTAGGAGACAAGCACACTAACAAGCTGATTATTGAGAAATTACTTGCTTTACTTTGCTTGACCTGTGGCTTGGATATTATAATATCATGATGTCGAATACAGT